TTAAAAAACCTTCCGTGAACCCGTCACTGCTATCAAACTACCACCCCATCTCCAACCTTCCTTTCCTCTCCAAAGTCCTGGAATGAGTTGTTGCTTCCCAGATTCACTCCTTCCTCTCCTGCCACTCTCTTCATTAACCCCTCGAATCCACCCACAGCACAGAAACAGCCCTGGTCAAAGTGACAAATGACATCCTGTTCATCTGGGACCAAGGCTCCCTCTGCCTCCTCGTCCTCCTTGACCTCTCTGCTGCCTTCTCCATGGCCTTCCCAACTCCTCCCTCCACAGGCTGCAGATAATCCAGAACTCTGCAGCCCGTGTCCTCTCCAACACCAAACTCCATGACTCCATCTCCCCCACTCTCGCCTGACTCCACTGGCTCCCTATCCTTCAGAGGATCCAGTTCAAGATCCTGGTCCTCACATACAAAGCCCTCCATGGCCTCACCCCAGCCTACCTCTGCGACCTCTGCCGGCTCTGGCCTGCTCCATGTTCCCCCGACCCACTCGCCCCACCATTGGCGGGAGAGCCTTCAGCCACTCTGCCCCCAAACTCTGGAATTCCATCCCCCAGTCACTCTGCGTCGCCCCTTCCTTAGCCTCCTTCAAGTCCCACCTCTAGACCCTCCTCTTCGACCATGCCATCGCCCAACCCCCTTCCCCTCCCCTCCCTTCCCCTCCCGACCCCAGCTCGGGTCTGAAATGCTCGATTCTGTCCAGCGTCTTGGGACGTCCTCCCGACGTGAAAGCCATTATACAAATGTAATCTGGTTGTTGTTGTTGCCTTCGACACCACTGACTACTCCATCCTCATCTACCGCCTCTCCTCTCACCTCAACTTTCATGGCTCTGTCCTTCACTGGTTCAGATTGTACCTCTCACACCACCTCCACTTCATTTCTGCAAACACATTCTCCTCTAGCCCCCACGCCATCTCATGCGGTGTTCCTCAGGCCTCTCTCCTTGGTCCCCTGCTCTTCAATACCTACATGCTCCCTCTTGGTGACATCATCTGCAGACATAGGGTCAACTTCCACATGTATGCGGATGACACCCAACTCTATCTCTCTGCCTCCAACCTCAACTCCAGGACCACTGCTGTCCTGACAGAATGTCTGTCAGACATCAAGTCCTGGATGAGAGCTACTTTCTTCAGTAGAACGTCAACAAGACCGAGGCCCTCCTGATTGGCTCCTGTCAGCGCCTCCACACCTCAGCGCTGACAGCATCACCATCCATGATTGCACACTCAACCTTGCTAAGCCAGTCCGGAACCTTGGGGTCTTCTTCGACCCTCAACTATCCTTTCTACCCCACATTCGCACCATGACCCGCTCTGTTTCCCCCCACCTCCGCAACATCGGCTCTGCCATTGTCGCCGAAACCCTCATGCACACCTTCATTAGATCAAAGCTCGACGATGAAAACTCACTGCTTGTCGGACTCTCCAACTACTCCCTCCATAGGCTGCAGGTCATCCAGAATTCTGCAGCCCGTGTCTTCTCCCGCACTTGGCTCCGTGACCCTATCACCCCCATCCTTGCCCAACTCCAAAGGCTTCCCATCACACAGAGGATACAGTTCAAGATCCTGGTCCTCACCTTCAAAGCTCTCCAGGGCCTTGCTCCCCCCTACCTCTGCAACCTTCTAACCCCCTACCGACTTGCCAGCTCCTTCCGCTCAGCGGGCTTTGGCCTGCTTTACGTCCCTGCCTCACCCATCCCATCATTGGTAGGCGGGCCTTCTGCCACTCTGCCCCCACCCTCTGGAACTCCACCCTCCCCCTCGCCTCTTTACTTCCCTTGTTCAAGACCCGTCTCAAGATCCTCCTCTTCGACCGTGCTTTCGGTCACCCTCCATCCTGTCCTGACTCCACCTGGGGTCCAAAGCACTGATTGTCCAGTGCCTTGGTACCTCCTCCCGATGTGAAAGGTACTATACAAATGTAATTTTGTTGTTGTTGTAATACTTCCAGCTTCTACCGCGGACTAACTGGCTTTCCGCGCATGAATGCAGGAAGCCGTCGTGTTAGCTTACTGCTCTCACAATCATTTCTAGCACAAGAAATACTGAGAGCATGTGCAAGAAGCTTGCCAGTCCACATAAAAATTTGGGAGTGATGACCACCTGACAACCTGAAAGCGAGATTTCTTTTTCATTCAAAGTCAAATATGTAGTCATCCTTGTACAGTCAAGCGCAAATTTAATGGTCTCCCCACCCAGATCAATGCCATAGATATTTTACTAATTATGCTCTGCTTGTAATTTGCGTGGGCATTATTCCTCACTTGTCAACTTTTGGCTTTGAATAGGATTTCCATGATAAAGCCTGCCAAAGGTCAATACATTATTCAGCAACTGTACAGTAACACTCACCCACCCTTATTATATGTGACATGTGTGAGTTGGAAATTCCTGTGTGTGTCATCCAAAGCCAAGTTTCTATCACAAGTGCAGTAAAACTCCACGCCAATGTTTCATCCTAAAAACAACTTCTTTTCTAATTTTCACATCAGCTTTCCTAAAAATAGTGACTCAACACTCGGTACAGCTTCATAGGGAATTAAAGCTCTCTGCTACCTCCCAAAGTAAACTATGTTCACATATGAAGACAGACAGAGAATGTTAGCAGACTATTTATCTCTTGGGAGTCTGCCCTCATTCAGTTCCCTTAAATATGCAGTCTCCAACAGGGGTCTGCTGAAGTGGGAAATCTAGCTGGATTTTACTGCGATTTGCCAGTTGGGGGTAATGTAACACCCTCACACTGTATGCCTTACTGAGATTAGCAAATTAGATTGAGATCAGGGATTGAGCATTGACAAAATGCTTGAGAGTCCAGCACCCTGGGCCATCCTCCCAATGTGAAAGGCGCTATCCAAATGTAGTTTCAATTCACTTTACAGTATATTCTGTGAAGCGCTTTGAGACGTCAAGAAGACGTGAAAAAGCGCTATATCAAATGCAAGGATTATTATTATTAGTAGTTTGTTGTTGTTGTTGTACCTGTGATCTTATGCAGTATATTTATCCATTCAACCATTGGGTGAATCCTGTAGCAGATTTCTTAAATAGGAAGTGCGCAGTTCATCACCCAACCACTGATGGGATTGGCAAATGCTTGATTTCCTGTCCTGATTGCCATGATTATAAAAGAATATTTACATCAACAACAATAACTTGCATTTATATAGCACCCTTCATGCAGAAGACCCGAGCCAGCTGAGCAAAGGCAGCGGGTAGTCGAGTGAGGTGTGAGCAGATCGGAAAAGTAGGGAGGTGCTAAGTAGGCCTAATGCATTCAAATGTAATTGTCAAGACACATCAAAATATAACATGCTCTGGTAGAATGTCCATGTCAATAGAACATGTTGGTGGACTCGTGTGGAGTATAAACACTGGCACAGACTATTTGGGCTGAATGTCTTGTTTCCATGTGGTACAATCTAAGTAAATCTATATAAAAATGCATATGGCCTGATGTCAAGATCAGATGAGGAGAGGATCAGGCTTGGCAGTGATGTTCGTGGTTGAATTGCTGCCCAACAATCCGTGTTGAGGTTCACACGTGAATAATGGCAATCTCTCCAGTGTGAAACAATCCCAAATTCCATAGCCTGTCCTCATAACTCTTGTGCTAATTGCAGCTATCAACTTAGCTGCCCATTGCTGTACCTCTCAAGTATCAAGATGTCCTTGAAATAACAGTGACAAGAACAGTACACAACCCTCGAGGAGACAGTAAACCATTCCAGTATCATGTCCTGCAACCTTAGCTATGAATACCAACACCTTGTTTGCTTTCCTCACTGCTGATAAACGCCATGGTAATGGTTTCAGCAGCCTGTTCTCCAGTTCCCTGTATCCCCCTCCTGTACTGTACAGGTGGCATACTTGTGTAACACATTCAATGTGATAAATATCCTGTCCTATGCTTGTTGCAATACAATTCCTACTTGAAAGGAGTACAAAAATATTATAATACATAAGTACAATAATGTTCAATTCCTATCCAAGGTTCTTCTAATAACAGCAAGGAATCTAACTTCCAGATAACAAACAGAATTGGCAGAATGATTCTATTTCTGCATTTAACAGTGGTAACAGGGAAATCGATCCATTATCCTACAGCCTGATTTTAAAAATAAAAGAAAGCAAACTTAGTTTTATGTTTTTTGCCCACCCTTCTGTTTAATGATTAGTGCATACCTTCTACTATATAACAGAAAAAGCTGTATTCATCAATATAATAGCACGCATTAAGCAAGGCAGCTTTTTTTTTTGCACATTAGAGCTATTACTTTCAATCCAAACTATTGTGAACTAAATCGATGCAATAACTGGCAAAAAAATTTCACAATTAATATGAATCTCAAATTTGATCGTCTCAAATTGTTCAACTCAGAAGCTTTAATCCTACCACTGGTCAACACAAATAAAATTCATTTTGATAACTGCAACCACACAAATAAATTGAGAAACCATTTGCATGATAAAGAGACCTTAGAGTGTAACACACTATTTCAGTAGTATCCGAAGGGCAGTATAAGATACCTCCAAGACACCTCACACAGTTAAATCTTCATAAAGCAATTTTATCCAATGATAGTCTGAGCAAAGTACTGCATAGTAAATTTTCTACACCATAACAAACTATGAAATATAATAATAATAATCCTTGCATTTGGAATAGCGCTTTATCATGAAGTCAAGACTTCTCAAAGCGCTTTACAGGATATACTGTAAAGTGAATTGCATTGACTGTGTATTTTATATTTAATGCAAAAGCGTTTCAATTAAAGCGATTTTGTCTGAGACTCATTAGCTTTTCACATAACAACACATCTGCTATTTCCTCTGTTTTCTGCAGCTAGGGCTCCATTTGTTTCTAAGGCTCTCGTTAATACCATTAGTAACCATAGCTTTCCAGGTTAGCATGGCATGCAAAAACCTCACCACTCACAGATCATAAAGCAGCTGCACATCACCACATTCTCCCACCTGGCCCATTTAATGAAGTAAGGCAAATGGTTGAGCAGACTGAATGTGTAAAAGGAATATCGAGTAATCTCTGTCACCGTCCATGCGACCAGGAAAAGAACGACGCTCTCCTCATTCTGAATCTGCAGATGAATTCATGATAAAATGCAAGTTCAGATAGAAATCACGTCAATCTTGATAGCATTAAGGACCAGATGCAGATTTGCATTTTAATTCCCTTTCCTATTGTACATACTGCAATCACAGAAATGTCAAAATAGAATTTACAGCATAACAAATATTTGGCTATTCCACAAAGTATTAAAAGTAAATAAATCTCTCACAATGATATGTCTGGTCTTTCCATGGAAATAATGTGAAGTCAACCAGGATGTAAAGTACTGAATCCTATTTCAGTGCTGTACATTATGGATAACTTCACAACCATAGTTGCAAATGAAAAGGACAAATTCTGATATATACTAAAGGTTTTCAATTTGTAAAGAATATACAGAAACAATTAGACAGATAGAAACTGGGGAGTGTGTATTGAAGTAGCTTACTCAAATCACTGCCAGTTTTAGATATTGCAACAGGACATTGATAGTTAGTCCTGACAGAAGCTATGTCCATCATGCTACATGGATGGGTTCCAGCTATATATAGTTTCCACATTTGTGTCTTTGAATAATAATAATCCTTGCATTTGATATAGAGCCTTGTCATGTCTTTGACTCACTCAGAGGCGAGTGTTCTGCCACTGAGCCAGGCTAACATAATTGCATATTTGTTTATCTTTTATGCTAAAACCTATAGAAACTTCGCTAGGGCCTGGTACACCACTTGCCCAAGACAGCATTAAGGAATATTTTTCCTAGATTTCTTTCAGTGTTGCTCAGCAACTGTTCATTTGGACGTATGTGAAAGTTACTGAGGCTGAATCATCCTCCAAATCTTCGGCTGTCAATGCCAGTCTCCAGAGAAGATCCACAACTCACCAAATGATTGGTGCTTCCAGTCCACAGCAGGCATCCCATCACATTTGCCACTGAATCTCCACATTTATATGTATTGCATTCTAGCAATTGGGGCTAGTCGTAATTTAGTTAATTCCTTAGGCTCCATTTAGTTGACAGTTTTTCCCAACAAGGACAGTGAAAATGATTAGATAATTCATTTGGATATCAAAAGGAAACAAATCAAATTCTACATAGCATAGCAACATCTTATTAATAGTAATGAAGATAAAACTAGACTAGTTAAATGGACCAAAGCGTACTTATAAGAGATTTGAGAATAAAGTATGAACCAAATCATTTCCTGATTCACTGACAGAATAAATTTCCATTTTAAATTATCTGGTAAACACTCTCGTTTGAGGAGCTTTGACTGCATTGTTCTTTTTTGGTACAATGGACAAGATCATCGGACCTGCTTTGTTGCAGTAATATAACAAGATATTTTCGAATAACATAAAACAATCTTTCAGAGATTAGATTTTTTATCATGCAGAAGGTTATCAGAATATAGAATATTTTGCCACAAGTATCTACTGAGAATTGTAGATTCTGGAAATCGTAAAATCATAGAAATTTACAGCGCAGAAGGAGGCCATTTGGCCCATTGAGTCTGCACCAACTCTCAGAGCAAATTTCACTTTCAATCTCACTATCCTGCCCTATTTCCATATCTCTTCAAGCCTCTAATTTTCATATACTTACTTGTCTGCTTTCCTCTTGAAATGCACAATGAACTCACCCTCCCCCCTTTTTGGCAGGGCATTCCACATCCCAACAACTCTATGAGTGAAACAACAAATCCGTGCACTCACATCCTTCCTCCTGCTCCTCTGTCACTTTCTGCTGTCGTAGGAAAAGATAAACAACAGGAAAGGTCTGTATGGTGATTGGATTCCTGCTATTTTGATGTGGAATTGCTACCCCAAAATAGGAAACATGGATTTTACATCCGTTTCATCAGAAGTACGTTTGCTGTTGTCTAACAAGAGGACATCCAGTCAAGTGACTGCTATCATCCTGCTGTAACTTAAAACAATTTTGCATGGAAAGTTTATCACCTCCTGGAATCCAATTAGGCTCAAAATACATATTTTAGAAAGCTAATATTTTTGGATGAAGCAGTAAAAGTTTAACATGTTGCTGGGACTCAAAGAGGCAAGCACAGGCAGATACAATTGTTTTCAATACGAGAGTACAACAACAATTTCATTTATATAGCACTTTTTATGTCAGGAGGATGCTGAAAAGCACTTCATACAGAGGCCTGGAAGCCTGATCTAGGGCAGGGGGAGCTGAGGAAGGCAATAAGAAACACATTCGGAGCGATAGTCTTTGAGGCAGAAAAGAAGGCAAGGTGCAGGGACTCTGGGAGTTCCAGAGACCAAGGGCAGAATAGCTGAAGACTCGCCTAACTGATGGTGGGGCAGAGCAGGCAGTGGATGTGAAGCAGGCAGGTGCGCAAAATTACAATATTGTAGTTTTCTTAATATACTTTTATGTTGTGAGGTCTGCATTTTTGTAATTCTATCTTAAAACAGTTCTCTTCAGAGATTTGCAGGATATGAATTTTAAGTGAAGTTGGCACATAAAAATCTGTACACATCATAAGACCATGCGTGTACTTTGCATTAACAAAGTCCTTTGTTGAAACGTAATACAGTACAAAGATTTCATTAATATTACTGGAAGAAATAAAATGGCACTTATACCAACCGGTCTTATACTGTGTATAACGAACCACACCATGAAAATTCTGGACAGGACTTGGACCCCAGTCACGAGCACCGAAGTTCGTACTATCCCTTAAACAACGACAATATCATTAAATTGGTTGAAAAGACATCGTGGAAATTAACAATCTCAGTAACTCAGCAAATACTCACCAATAGCACAGTGGATAATCTGTGGAGCATTGAAAGAAAACAGAAATCCAGAGATTATTATTGTAACCAGCCTTAACATTTGTACTCTACATTAAGAAACTTACAGCTGTAGCAACAACAAAAACCAGGCTTTTTTTGTACCTCTAGTAATGCAAACGTCTGGAAAAATTTTAGTGTTTTTTGTATGTTCCTGTACAGTCCCTTGTGTGTTCCTTTCTGGTAAGAAAATCGGATCATAGCCACAGCCAGCACCAGCCATCTAGGGACAGAAAGAAGAGGCCCAGATCATCAGAGTTAAAGGGTCAGAGATTAAAGCAACAATTTTGAATTCCTGAAACCAATTATTTGTGACCAGTTGATCGAACTCTCGTCTCTGAGACAGAAAGTTTTAGGCCCATGTTGGTTCTTTCAACTCACAGTCTAGACTGACAAACCAACACAATGCATGGGGAAGCATTGCATTGTCAGAGGTGCTGCCATTCAGATGAGACGTTAAACCAAGGTCTTGTTTGCCTGTTCAGGTGGATGTTAAAGATCCCATGACACCACTCGAAAAGCGAAACAAGTATTTACTGGTGTCCTTGTGAACCATCTCCAAATGTGGAGTCCTGTAGCTCAGTGAGCATTTGCCTCACAAGCGAGAGACTGGGTTCGATTCCCGACAGGGTGAAACCTTGGGCAAGTTTCCTTACTCCACACGCCTGATCATAATCCCTCAAGAGAAAAAATAATAATTTGGTCACTCGGTCCACGACTGTTTGTGGGACACTGCTGTGCGCAATTGGCTGCCGCGTTTCGCTCACAAATATACAGTCAATTCACTTTACAGTCTATTCTGTGAAGCGTTTTGAGACATCTAGAAGACGTGAAAAGCGCTATATCAAATTCAAGGATTATTATTATTAAATATAATTGGTTATTCACTTCATGGCTGTTTGTGGGACATTGTCGTGCACAAATTTGCTGTCGGGTTTGTCGACAAATACACAGTAAGTACACTTCACAAATAAAACCTTGTGAAGTATTTCGAAATGTCTGGAAAGTGTGATAACGTGCTACATCTATCCAAATTTAAGGAATATCAAAAAAAACAGGAGCAGTGAAGTGTGAACAATGCTGTCTTACATTAAGTGAATTTATATATTTTTGTACGTTCACCAGCTCATCTGTGGTCTCTGCATGTATTTCTGGCCATCCAGCTCCTTATAATATTCTCTTATAACAACTGACTGCTTTCATCGAACCTTGCTACCAAAAACAACTTGGCCAATCAACTTTGAATAAGCAAGAAACAGGTAATGACTCAGTACTAACAACATTTGATCAGCATATATTCATTTTTCCTCCTGATTTAGAATTAACCAGGAAACACCTGCAATGACTATTTCAGGATCCCCTGGAGTGTACAGTGATGTTTAGATTGATACTCTATTATGGAGCAAGGCATTGTGCTTCCGTTTCATAATACAATGCTTCACATCAGATTTTAAAAGTACTTGATGAACATTAAAGCCTTATATATCCACTTCTGCAATCCTAGTCATACAATCAGAGAAGTTATACCCAGACATATGCTAAAATGTTACACTCAAACAGTAAAGACAGAGGTGATTTGTTTAATCGAACCTTTCTGATTTCTGAATGCATGAAGTACAGCAATAATTTTCTGTCATTAAAAATAATACAAATAATAATATAAATTCATGTGTTTCGCATCTTAAAAAAAGGCAGTTTGGGTTCAAAGTGTCTATATTGGTGTGGTATTGGAGGTTAAAAAGATATTAATAATCCTTGCATTTGATATAATGTTTTTCACATCTTCTAGACGTTTCAAAATGCTTCACGGAATATACTGTAAACTGAATTGACTGTATATTTATGGGGAAAATAAACAGATGGATATAAACTAAGGAATACAGGGCTAAAATATGTGGGATTATTAAATGTATACCTCAACTCTTTTATGAATGGGTTTAGGAACACGAGGAATTAAATGATTTTCATTGATCCATTCAGAGCCTGAACAATCCCATTGTGTTTTAACCTTGAAATTGTAAATTTTAGACCTAAAATAGAGCTGTATGTTTTTGTCTGCTTAATATTTTTTTAAGATTTATTTGCCTAGATAGGATGAAAACCACATTATTCTAGGTCAAAACATTTACTTTTACCAATTGGGAGAGCTAGACCCAAAGCATCTGGACTGTTTGGTAAAAGTTCATTTATTGGCATGAAAGTGAAAGATTTTCCTTCCTCCTAGGCAGATAAACCAGGGGAAGCTAATATAAAGCCAATAAAGACTACTGTGGGACCTAACTCAGTCTCTCTCTCTCTCTCTGTCTCTCTCCCTCTCAGTCTCTCTCAGTGGTCTGTCTGTGGGACACTAGTGTGCACAATTGGCTGCCGCGTTTCACCCACAAAACACACGGTCACTACACTTTACAGTATATCCTGTGAAGCACTTTGAGACATCTCGACAACGTGTAAGACGCTATATCAAATGCAAGGATTATTAATATTTTATTAACATTTACGAAATAGGATTGCTTGCCTCAGAGTCAAAACAAACATAGTGGCCCTTGGATCCTGATGGAACAACTGTTATTAAATCTTATTGTAGAGTAAGAGTTAATAACATTCTCATTGAAACCCAGAAAAGTTTCAATGAGACACATTCATTGGCACAAATAGGCAGAAAATTTCTATTTCCAAAATTATTTCTACAGTACAAATGTGTCAGGCTTAAGCATTCAAAAAAAAAATTTTTTTTAAATAAATTCATGTGTTTCGCATGAAACATGTGATGTCTTATGAAATATAACCATGCCATATAGGAACCATAGTTTTTTATTATAATTTATGATCTGTCAGATTATATAATACATGATATACTGAACTGCGGTATATGTCTAATTTATAATAAAAAGTATATTTCCAGAAAAATGCATTTCTCAGAATTGGCACAGTGTAGAGGACCACTGTTGTTTTGCCTCAAGGAAGTAGGAATGAGAACAATACCAGATTGATGGGGTGAAAATCTCCTCTCATTCTCACTTCCTCCCTTTGCTGGTTGCGGAGGTTGAGCAATTTTAAGTCAGTTGATTACAAAGGATGTACAGCACAGAAACAGACTATTCAGCCCAACCAACCTATGCTGGTGTTTATACTCCACACATGTCTTCACCCATTCCTTACACCCTCCCATATTCTTCTGTCTCCTCTTCCTCATGTGAAGGATAGTGGATGCTAAGACTCTGAGCTCATAAATGCTCACATTTCAGCACAAATTGGCACTAAACATGTAGAAACTTAAATGATGGCTGGTAAATGCAGTTGAACTTCGCCACAAGAGTGCCCTTCTGAGCTTGGGCTGTAACACATCACTTGGGCAGAGAAGACCAACAATACATTGAATTAGTCAATGTTATACCTAACCTTTGTAGCTCTCGCTGAAACTGGGAGCTAAGAGTTAAAAAGGGTTCCTTGCTGCAAACTGGCAGACCTGCAGGACCACTGCTGGCCTGACAGACTGCCTGTCAGACATCAAGTCCTGGATGAGAGCTAACTTTCTCCAGTTGAATGCCAGCAAGATCGAGTTCAAAATCCTCTTCCTCGCCTTCAAAACTCTCAATGGCCTTGCTCCTTCCTACCTCTGTGACCTGTTAACTCCATAATGACCTGTCTTCTCCCTCCACTCAGCAGGCTCCGGCCTGCCCCACGTCCCCTGCCCACCCCACCATTAGCAGTCGGGCCTTCAGCCTCTCTGCCCCTACCATCTAGAACTTCATTCCACACTCCCTTCATCTCGCCCCTCCCTTGCCTCCTTCAAAGCCCGTCTCAAGTCCTTCCTCTTCAACTGCACCTTTGGTCAACCTCCTCGCCTCATCTTCCCTACCTTCCACCCTCCTTGATCCCAATGCCCAGCTCAGGTGCAAATCCTTGACTGTCCAGCACCTTAGAACATCCGCCCGATGCGAAAGGCGCTACACAAATGTAATTTGTTGCTCTTGTTATACAATCTTGGGAGTCCTGGGAAAGAATGAATTTGAATAAGAGACTGTGATTAGTTTTAATTTCACCACAGTGTGGACGCAGGGAAGAAGAAGTGCATAGAGGATGATTTTGTTTTGGAAAGACGAGAGAAATGTTCAAAGGACCAAGTATGAATGAAATAGAGAAAGAGAACGTTGTGATGATGAGAGTGTGGAGGCCAGAGATGAGGGAAGGATCACCTAATCAGATAATAAGTATTTTTTTGTATTCTAGTCCAAGAGTGCAAGAGAAGTGTTAAAGACATATTGGAGCAGCATTTACGTCTTTGGTGAACATGTAGAAGGTTTATTGTTGTTGAGGAAAAAATAAATGTTCAGTGGGGAAGGAGTTTGAAACTAAGTTTCTTGAAGACTGCTTTATAGAGGAAGTGTGAGAATTCCACTTGAGGTCATTGGACATAACCAAACCCTAAATGTTAATACACAAAGAAGAATTAAGATTGGAACCTACAAAGTGAGAGGTAGTTCCTGCTGGATTAGACTTAAGAGTGACATGAAGACACTGGGACCTTAAGAAATTGAAAGAAACAAGAATCTTATTGTCCAATGGAAGGTCATAGAGGGATTGTGGTTTAGTGATTCAGAAGTGAAGCTGTGTTCATGTGATCTGAAGAAAACTGATGAATGTGGAGTGGAATTGTGAGCAAAGGTCTGAATAGAGCAGATGATGACTGGACGTTACTGATATGGAGAAAGAAACAGTAGTCGAGAGAGCTACTACAACAACCACAACAAATTACATTTGTATAGCAACTTTCATGTCGGGAGGACGTCCCAAAGCATTGGATCCAGATCCATGGGTAAGCTTGTCTTTAACTGAAAGAGGGTCAGGGTATGACTGATTAACTACAGCATACATAGAGTAATTTGAGAAGAAACTGGACACCTCAAGATATTGGTTTGGTGAAAGTACAGTAACTTGTTTACAAGTACACTTTGCTGGACCCATCAACTTCAGCTTAGTTGAATACTGTGTGACATCTCACCACCAGTATTAAGGCATGCTCAGTGGAGCAAATGTAATAATTTTCGTCTGCTGCACAAAGAGCAAATTTATTTTAATTGAACCATAGCAGGATGCAATTCGATCAGAAATTACCACCCATCTCTCAAAGGAGAAAGTGGAATAAAACATAGCTGGTGACTTGGGTCCCCATCTTGCAAACTCTCCCAAAGAGCTGTGGATGCTGGATCCATTCACATCTTC